TTGTTACTAGAAGCGATGCACTTGTTACTAGTAGCTTCTTGTTACTAGTAATAAGGATGCTCCGTTCGTAGTACGGCCAGGAGCCCCGATCGTAGCGTTTTTGCTCCTAGCAGCAATGCCCTTTGCTCCTAGTAGCTTCTTCAAACATGCACGTTTTCCACGTCATGTGAATCAAGAAAACGTGACAGGTTTCCCGATCAGTGTTATTGTGAGATCTGGTAGCGTATGACGACAGATTTGAAAGCCTCAGGGGCCTCAGTTTTTTTGGGGGGGGACCACTTTGGAACCTGCCATCATTTACAACGTCTCCGACTCCGACTATCTCCGACTTGCGTTTGCCCCATCACTGGCCATGACCTTTCTTTGGCAAGGAAACGTTCCCAGATCCCACACCCTGCCGTCAGGAAGAGCACGCACGCAAGCCAAAACAGCGGAGGGCGGACTGGATCTCGACTGGGCGCGAGGAGTGATGCAGCAATGATGTGGGACACTGGATTTTGGCTGCCCTGAGTGATTTCCGCTCATGCGATTCCATTCCCATCTTAGTTAAACAAAGATAACAAAGGGCCTTCGGCAGTGTGAGAATGACTTGAAAAGTGCCAGGCGTTCATTGTTATGCTGTAATTAATGCCAACAGCCCGGCCGTGGCAGGGCTAGCTCCATGCTGTCTGGTGGAGGGCCCAGGACTTTGCGTTTGTGGATTCACTTTCGCGATTAGACAGTCGTTCTCTTTTGAGTTTTTCAACCAGCAGAGTTGTGAAGGCATTCCTTTTCATTCCTTTTGTTGAACGTCTGGCCAAGCTGCTGTGACAACTGAGTGAACAACGGAGCTTGCTAGACCCTCTACTGCACAAACAATTTGAGCTTTTTGGGGAGAGGGGTTTGGAAGATTAGTTATCTCGGTGCTATGCGTTCGGGCTAGCGGGGAATGTGTGGGGACTCTGTGGCAGACAAACGGCATGTGATCCTTTCATGCAGGACCAGCTCGATGATCTCCGGTGGTGAGCATAGGACTGTGAGAGAGAGGGAGAGGGCTCCGGAGAGACAAGCCGAAGCCTTCTAACTATGGACGAACACAATAATAATAGTTTGTTCCACTGTTTGCTCCATGTTTGTTCCATGTTTGTTCCATGTTCTCCTTGTGGCATCATCATCATCATCATCATCATCATCATCATCATCATGCGAAGCTATACGTTTGGGCAAAATTTGCCAATGTAGCTCTTAGTCACTGGTCGGTCTATGATTTTTTAAAACTGGCGTGTTGTTGTTTTGCAACAGTCTAGCTCATCCCCTGAACTGCAGGGGGGGTAGTGGCCCACCTGTCCGCCTAGCATGAGGGATGCGTCATAGCCACTAGACCATCATGGCCTTTTTCGTTTACTGGCGTGTTCCTTGGAGGAGCTCTTCGCATGGGAGAAGTTCATCACATGGAAGAAGCTCCTCACATGGGAGGAGCACCTCCCAGATCTCTGGACACTCTGGCTGAACGGAGGCGCTTCCTTTGGCGGTGAGGTTCGACGGACATTCGCACCAGCGAGAGTCCGAGCAGTCCTGAAAATGGCTCCAAGATTCTGTGGATACCCACGGGCACACCAAGAATATGAATATGTATGAATATGTAGTACTGTATAACATGTAGTATCATCTAGTACTATGGTCATCTACAGTCTCTAGACTTGAAGACTCAGACAGACTCAGACATAGACGTGACACTCCGCAGACCCGAGGACATTCCAGCAAGAGTCAGACCTCTGGAGCAAGAGAGTCGGTGACCTCTTCGGGCTCCAAGAGCCGCTTGGCGTTGGACATGTTTGGACAGTGCAACGCGGTTAGGACACATAGGACACCAACTCAAAGAGGAATCCATTCTTCAGGTGAAAGACAATCCTCATAGTAGTACTACTAGTAGCGTCCTTGCTCATAGGTGAAAGACACCAGGAAAGATAGCCAGATAGCATGGGTTCCATGGGTTCCACATAGGTGGGAATCCCCATCGGTGGGCTCACCAATCCCAATTCGCCCTTACACGGCCCGGCCTCGTTGCACGGCGGGTGCTGAGGTAAAGGCATTTTCGGGCCCTTGGCCGGGCAGCTGACCTTGGATGGCCATCGCTTCAAGCGACATTTGGCAGCAGATGCAGCTGTTGGTTCGTGGTGTTCCTCGGTCCTAGTAGAACTAGCAGGGGGTCCTTTCAGGCAAAACACCCTCAGGTGTCTTCCAGCGATGGGGCAGCCTTTTTCTGTCGAGGTGCTGGATCAGTTTTACATGCTTTCTCATCAACCATGTTCTTTAAGAAGTTGCACGCCAATCATGAATAGCCCCACCAAGGACACTACACCTTCCTGGACTATTTGCGTGGCGGGCTGGAACTTCAGCTCATGGTGGCCGTCGATTTGACGCGCTCCAATCTGGGACAGACGAATCCCAAATCCATGCTCCTCGGACTCTAGATTTCCGGGTGGGACCGAATGAGTGAAGGCGCATCCCATTTGAAGTTCTCGGTTGCGTTGTACTTGTTGGTTTTTGGGTTGCTTCGCACGCCTTCCTTTGACCGAAACTGGCACTCTACCACGACCGGGTTACCTTAACCACGACCAGGATGCTAAATCTCCCGTGGTACAGTGCTAGTCTCCCTTTGACCTTTTCTTGCTGTGCGCTGGAGAGGCATAGCGTCGTATCAACAGAAGAAGAGACGGCCTACGCAAGTGCAATCCGTTGCCTGGGAGATACTTGTCATACCTTACTGTGGTTGGTTCGTGGGGGAAGGCATTTGTGCTGCTGTCCAATTTAATTGCTCGCAGCCGTTTTGCATTTTTGCTTTTGTTTTGGCTGGAGACTTTCGCTTCAAATAGGTTGTGCTTGCATTTTGCAACTGAGTTCTGCTTGGGCGTCAAGGTCTTGGAACGAGAAAAAAGTTACTGTAAATCCCTTTGGCCCGTTAACATGCCGGTGAGCGTTCTGACGCAGAAGGGTCAGTGGGCCGGATCCAAGGGGAGTTTGTTTTGCTGGCACGTGCTACCTGCCGCCGTGCCAGCTGTGACTGCAACGACCAGGAAGTGATGTCGGTTTATGACAACGACAACTGCTATCCAATCTATGGCTTCGGTGCCAAGATCCCCCCGACCCATTCGGCAGCTGGACCGCATTGGCTTGTAAAAGGGCGGTAAAGTTTTGGAAGGCCAGGCGGTATAGACGACACTTAGAGCAGATGATGTGGAGCCGATGTGTTCCTCATTTGGTGTCCCATTGTGTAATGCATGCAGGGCTTGCGAAGTTTTGTTTGCAGGCGTTTTTGCAACAGCACTTTAAAGCACGACATACTTGCAGTTGCTTGCACCGCTGTTCGAAAACTGCTGATGTTCAGGTGGTCTCCAACTGCTTTGCCTTGACCGGGGATTTTTTCCAACCAGAGGTGGAAGGCCGCGTGGCTGCTACCAGCGCTACCGGCTAACAGCCACTCCATCCCACATGGCTGAGGTGTCGAAGGGATGCTGAAAGCCTATCACAGGGCCTTGCGGGTCTGCCACCTCCATGGGCCGTCTTATCTCGCAGATCCTTGGCCAAAACTGATCCCGGCAGGCGGTATTCAGAGGAGTTGAAGCCGATATCCCAGGGTCGTCATGGAATGCGCTTCCTCAACTGATTTCTTGGATGTATTCAGTTAAGACAGGTTGCTTGTTGGGTTCGCTGGAGAGGACCGGTAGGTTGGCTGGAGTCGTGAAGACTACGTGGAGAGTTTGCCCCACCCAGTCGCTACAAACAAATCAATAGCACCCATGGCCCAGCCAGGACAATCTCCCTTTAAGCCTGTGATTTGTTCCGATTTGGATTCTCTCAAGTTACCCAGAGTCGGTTCGTTGCCACCGCTCTGCGCTTGCCCCTGGGGATTAGGTTTCCCAGTTCTTTTTCCTTTTTGAGTCCGATTGCCCAGAGAGATGTTCGACCTGCACCTTCAGGATGTGGTGAAGTTGGCAGCCGACATGAGCAGGCCTGGGGTGCAAAAGGGTGTGATACACGACTCTGATTCTGGTTCTCGCGAATGTGAGAGTGCGACAGCTTGCCCGGGGCTCGCATTGTGCTGTCGGGGTTCGCCCGATGGCCAGGCCATACATACAGCCCAAGAACCCCAAGATGAACGAGAGAATGCCAGACATGAAGTGAGCTACGGAATCCATTGGAGGTTGAGGGAGTGCAGAATTGGCGTGGGGTTGCGCGTGTCAGAATCGGGACTTCCTGAACTACAGTAGGGATTGGCTGCTAGGGATTGTGGGAGATGTCGGTGGAGATGTTTTGGGTTTCCCCCTGAGCCACTCAGCAATCATGGAGGGACAACTGATTAGTGGCTTCTGGTTGACTTGCACTGCGGCTCGCCGTGTGCTCTGCGGAGGTACTATGTCCTGGTTGTGTTGACAGATGGCGAGATCGAGGAGCAATATGCATGAAGTTCCACCAGTAGTTCCACCATACTGCTTTGTTGTCATTGCTCATCCAGTGCAACTATGGAGCACTAGGCTTCATGAAATTCCGTCATTCTGTAGGCTGTCAACCGATAAGTTTCCCCGGGCGCCTCCCCTCCACTGTGAGCCATTTGGCTCGACCTCGCCCGCGGTGGGTAATGGGCGGTCGATCATGGAGGAGACGGCAAGGCTCAGAAGAAGCAGCTTTTGGTTGTTTATTTGGAAGTCTTGAACAGTTGAGTTCATCCAGGCACCAATCCGTGATAACAACACCTGTGTAGCTGCTGACTTGGGACCGCTCTGCTGGCCTCGCTGTGAGGCGGAGCACACCTTGCGAGCGAGTTCTGCGCTGGCGAACTTGGAGGATCCTGTTTCCGTCCCCCGGAACAAGTGCACGAGAGTCACGAGAGCGCAAGGCAGTTTTTCTCATGACCAAACTGGAAAACTGGATCTTGTTGCAGTGCCTTTTTGTCGTCAGTATCTGTGATTAGTGTGCTTAGACTCCAAGTGGTTGTAAGCCTGTAGACATATGGACCCAGTAAATTAGATCACTACAGACCTGGACGCTACTAGGGGCTCCTGGCATCGCTACTAGGAGCAAAGGGCATCGCTAGTGAGATCACCTCGACCTGGACCCGGCGCTGCAGCCGTGCACCCGTGGCTCACTAGGTTCTTGAAGCTCAGTGAGCCACCGGGACGGCAGCCGTTCCAATGCGCTCCTGGGCGCCTTGGCAGGGTCTTTGAGTGCAGGTCCGAATGGGTGGGTGTTACAATAGGGAAATAGACTCCCCGGAAGAAGGGAAATAGACCAACACCATCCAAAACCCACTCAAAACCCGAGGCTTCGGTGGAGAAAATGAAGACGAGAGATGGAGATGACGTGAGATGAGATGTGGTTGATATGACACAACAATCAGAAGAAAGTCTTGGAGTGTTTGCAAAAATCCCAGGATGTCCTTCCAATGATGCAGTGGGTTGCCAGAGGTGATTTGCTAATCATTGACTCATTCCTCGCGGCCTCGCGGGGCTGTGTATGAAAAATAGAGATGCCCCCTTCCAAACAGAAAAAGCTTGAAGAAGGAAGATAGCCCCGTCCATCCGTTGGTCGGAGGGTCGCCCTATGGCAATGCCATGGCAGTGTCACATAGGTGGGTGCTGCGACTGTTTCGCTCGCCTCCCGCTACTGGTGACGGACGTGCCATCGTGTGGTTCCTCCAACGGAAAGGAGGTTTCTTCCATTCAAGTGGGCCCATTTTGGCCTGCTTTTGAGCAGTCTTTAGCCGTAGCATTAATTATATAATATTGAATATAGAACAAGTGTCGCGAGCATCCCATGCAAGAACATCCCACCAGCCTGTTGGGACGGTTTGGCAGCCTCTTCAGAGTAATTGAGAGTCACGCCTTTTCATTGAGGCTCCATTGTTTAAGATGCTGCCATGTGCAGTTCGGATAGCACCAATTCTTCCAGAATCGCTGAAGGGCAGGTAGCAAAAGCGGCCATTCCAAAGCCAGTAAAAGAGCATCCGAGGCGCTCAGTTCTGGCCGCCCGAGTTTTGGGAAGATTGGTGATTTACATCATAGCTGCTTTCTTGTTCTGAAGCTTGGCACGGCAACACTCACCAAAAAACGTGGCCGCATTCTTTTTTTCGCGTGATGTGCTAGGGATGTCACTGATTCTGCCATGTTCACAGCCACTAAGGCTATGCAGGCCTCGCCATCTCATCTCAGACCTTGCTTTTGCGCTACGATCAGGTGCCCAAGCACACGGACATGCTGAAATCCAGCACTGTCATACCCATTGATCCCTCCAACAGCTGGTTCCGCCATCTCTATCGAGAAGTGGAAAGTAAGGGTTGAGCTACCAACAAGGATAAATGGATGCAAAGGGTACATCGGTCCAGGCTTCCCACAATGAGTGGGTGGCTGAGTATCAAAGCAAGTAACAGAACAAGTGGGCATGGGTGAACCCAGTGGTTTTCTTGACCATTGGTGCTTCCTGAATCGGTCTATATAGACCTGCCAGTCCATTGACGATCATGTCTATCTATTGGTCTATTGGTGGTTGATGCGGGTTCTACGATGTCAGAGGTCCTTTCTGGAGTTCCTTGCCTGTCATTTGTTCTAAGGAGCAACAGCGGCTGGTTACCAAGCAATTGGATCCTGCATGCCCGCTCCTCAGGTAACTTCCTTGAGTGGAGTTGGGCAAGATCTTTGTCGAGTTCTGAACTTAGGTGGTAGCCACATGACCTATGTCCTCATATCAAAGCGCATTCTGGAAGTGATTCTGCTGAATCATTTGTGTGGAAATTTGATGCAACAGGCCTACTATTCGGGAGTCGTCAGGTCGGCCGAAAAGGCAGACAATATATGTAGTGATCTAACTGGGCCCAGGGGCTATCAATGAACAGTTCCTTCAACTGAACACTGTGCGGACTGCCTCGAAGCATAAAGGCCGACCGCTTCCATCAAGTCCTGGCACGAGATGGAGATAGAAAGAAGGATAGATAGATAGATAGATAGATAGGAAGAAGCGATGGCCTCCAACCTACTACAACGAGATGGAGATAGATAGATCCTAAAGAGTTGGAGTTGGATGTTTCAAAGTTGACCCATCAATGGCTTGCTGGTTTGCTCAAATTCGTCCAGATCTACATGTTGGACGAAGAAGTCATGAGTCATGAGGTGAACTTATAAGAAGCAATTTCACGGTTTCCCTTACGGTGTTTGTTTTTACCCGGGAAGTTTTGGAGGTTTGAGGAGACACATTTCTGGACAGGCCGAGGAGGATTTGGAATATTACAGAACTGCAGACCTGCAGCTGATGAAAGACCCAAGTGGTGATGCAGGCAGGGTGTCTTCAGAACGTGGTGGCCTTGATGGCGAACCTTTTGGGCAACTAAACATGGGCCGAAGGAAGAAGCATTGCATTGGTCAAACGGGAGCTGTCCCTATCAAGGTGTGGTGCACGGACTCTTCCAATGTTGGTTCCGCTTTTGCCTCCGGTCTCTTGGACTAGCAAGACGCTTTCTCAACGAACGGTGGCACTGCCGGGTGCCTTTCCTTTCCTTGGTGTATGTGGGGTGATTGAGATTCGAGATCGAAGCTGGGTCTCTAGTGTTTTTGGACGCTACTAGGAGCAAAGGGCACCGCTACTAGGAACAAGGACTCTACTAGGAGCTTTTTCTGGCTCGGCTGAAGGCATCGACTTGCCATTATCACAGACAATATCAAAAACCGACAAAGCGCATCCTGGAAACGGGAATCGTTTCACCTGTAGTAACAAGAAGCTTTTTAGTATGTCTTGCTTCTTAGTTACAATAAAGCTTTCTAAGAATTTCTAGTAACTAGAAGCTTCTAGATTCTAAGTGGAGGCCATCGCTATTAGGTTAGAGGCCACCGGCACTAGTAACAAGAAAGCTTTCTAGCAACTAGAAGCTTCCTTGGGAATCGTCGTTTCACTATGGTTCACTTGTCCTCCTGGGAAGCCCACAGGCGGTGGCTTTGATCCTGCATGATTCAGCATGTTTGGGCGGTCGCTCTTCCCTAAGGAGAGGGTACAACCGTCGTTGGCTGAGCTCCTTTTTCCCGGTGTCTTGGAAGATCGAACCACGAGAGGGGGAGTCCTGCAGGATCCGTACAAATACCGTGGGCACAAGCGTGTACAAGCAGTCATTTTCAGTGGATCTGAGTGGCTCAGGTTGTTTGAGCCACATATGCCTACCCAATCATTGCATGCTAGGTCCTAGGCCCTAAGCATTGAGCCAGTGAGACTGACTTCCCCTAGGACTACATCTTCTTGTTTTGCGTCGTGGGCCCATGCTGCATTCTCTACAGCATCATGCTTTGGTACAGAAAGATGGATGCGCATGCTGTTGCGCATCACGCCTACATCGACAAGACCGATCCTGGGTCTGGATGCTCGCCAGGCTTTTTCATATGTTCTACACCGGTTTTATGGTGTTCGAAGGTCGACCGCAATCCAAAAATTGACTCAAGAGAGAACCTCGAACACCAAGTGGACCAAGGATTCTTGATTTCACTGGATACATGCCTGTTTGTATACACCAGTGTGTTGGTCATGGGCTTTCTCTTCACCACCTTGGAAAAACACGTGGTGGCTAACCCGTTGCGTGCCTTGGAATTCCGCGCGGCCCTGGCCTTGTTTTTGGTCCTTTGGGCAATGAACTTCCTCACCATTTTAGAGGATCGCTACGTCTATTCTTCAGCTCCTTGGAAACGAAAAAAGTGCCCACTGAGCTCGGGGCAGGGGGTAGGCCGGTAGAGGTCAGGTAGGTCCAGGTAGGTAGTTAGTAGTAGCTAGAGGTAGGTAGCAAGGGAGAAGCTAGTAGCTACAAGAACGCTACTACTTAGGACACAGGATAGCTCACACTACAAATGATTTGGTTCGATGTTTAGGGAAACTTAACATCTGAGGCTTGGGGCTTCAATCTTTCCCGTAGAGAGCGGAACGTGACCCCATACTTCCGCATACTGGCAGCTCTTGCACAAGTCTTTGTGACACACTCTGCCGCGACTGGGCCGTCGATTTTTGTGGGGTCTCATTTTGAACTAGATGAGATGGACACAAGAGAGCACCAGAAGAAGTTTTATGTTACCAAGAATGACCTAAGCACACGTGGAGTTGCGAAAACCAGCCGAGTGTGAGCACATGCAAGTACCAATGGTGCGGCGCTGTCAAACCTCCCCTCAACTTGGCATATGGACCGGCAGAGGAACATCTGCCTGCACTCTTTTGATGCTATGAGCAATTATGAACATATCAATTGTACGCGTTGGGCGGGTATTGAAAAACTACAGGTCCTCTGAGCTGAGCTATTACTCATTCATGGGGGGATTGGGCCCCTCATCATCCGTTTCTCATCAATGTCCTCACGGGCGACTGACTGGTTTGTGTTGAATTTGGGGGGTGAAAGACAACTCAAAGGACCTTAGGTTGGAGGCCATCGCTATTTGGTTGTACTTGTTTGGAGGCCATTACTATTATCGCTATTAATTAGGTTCAACCGCATCAGCCCTGCTTAATATGGTGTTTGCAGGTGATGCTGGGCGCGGTGCTTTTGGGCCATAGTGGGCATGTGCGACGGATGCCAGATATCCCTTGTAAGGTCTTTTGCTGGAGAGTTCTTCCGAGGCTGGTCCTGTAGCTTCGTAGCAGAATCAGAAACATGGGCTGATCCTTGTTACTTGGGAGCAAAGTTCACTTGTTTATTCCTTCGTTTCGCTCTGCAACTATGCCATGAACATCATATTTGACACTCCCGAGATGCCTGCAAGTCAAGTAGCAAGTTGGCAAGATGTGCAAGCATGCTCCAGCAGTTTCACTTGAGTGACTGCCAACCTACACACTAAGATGGCTGATAGTTCCTTCCCCCTGAGTTTGGTGCTGTTTGCTGCCATCATCGCCTTTAACTTGGCCTTTCGTTCCAACCACGACCGCAGCGAATGCTTGAAGCCAATCTTTCGTGTGATCAACGTGGTATGGCCGTGGTTTGCAGCCTTGATGCCTCCCTTGGGCGGAGTTCTCTTGCTCCTAGATATCTTCCTGGAACGGGCTTTCTTCGAGGAGAAGGAGTTTGACATTGAACTGGCTTCTTGGAAAGAGGATATCTTTTCAAAGGGGGCTCACCGGGAGGCCTATTCTAGTTGCAACTTCAGTGCTGGGGGTATGGCATACATATATATGTGTGTGTATGTGTGTGTCACCCCCTGTACCTAAGGGTTCCATGCCACTGTTTTTCACTACAACCACTCAACGAGGCAGGGGGCCACAGCTCCTTTCATCAGTCTGTGGCCAACGAAGCTACTGATGATTGGAGAGGATATGAACCTGGGACGCCAGGTTCACGTACCTGCTTTCCTTTTCAACTGTTGACAAGCTGTCCACTCTCGCTTTTTGTTTCATGGTCCTTCATGATACTCCCCCCCCCAAACAGGTTTCTTACAGCAGCCGTCCGCAGCCTTGCACCGCTTTGCAGCCGCGTCTTGAGAGCGATTGGAAACCATGTTCAACCATACTGTTCCAGCTGACTTTTCCACCTTGCGGTTCTTCGCCTTTCTTCCCATCGGGAAATTGAGTGTAACTGAAAACCAATGTCAGAGTGTGTTTCACTCAGCCGTCCCACACCGGTGCTGAGTGTGATCCCCGTCACTGGGGCGCTGAATTCACTCCGGAAATCGTGTAACTGAGCTTTTCCACCTTCACCGGAATCCACCACTGGATCAACCTTAACTGAATTTACTGCCTCCACGGCCGCCGGGCCAAAAAAGGAGATATCAACAGATTCCACCCTGCATCGGTTTTGTATCAGCTTTGAACTTTGCTTTTCATGGTTTTCTTCCTCAAGCTGAGCGATTTGATTCATTCCGACCGCTTAATTCGAGTTGCATAGACTTACCACCTTCCACACTTTCACAACTTCCACAACTACCGCTTTTGCGCTACATTTTCACATTTCGACCATATTTACCATCTCACTTTGCACGACTGCATCAGCTGCTATCCTCGCCGCCGCGCCGCGCCGCTGCCATTGTGAAGCAGATACTACGAGTTCGGGACAGTCTTCCATTTCCCACACGATGCAGTATCCTTGGCCTTACTCCCACACAGCACCACTGCCACTACCCACTCCGCCAACACAACCGGCACCTCATCCACCACATCCGCACACACCACCAACACTCCAAGTTCCACAACACCAACCATTTGCAGTTCCACCACAACCAACACTTCCAGCTCCACAACAGCCAGCATTTGCAGCACAACCAACTGTATTACCCTATGGACCTCACTCTATGTGGACCCTCGTACATTCCCCTCACCCACATCAGATACCGCCACAGGCCACACCTCATCCACAAGCATTTCCAGCATCCTACATCGTTCAACAACTACAACACCCACCACCTGCCCACCCCACCACAGCTTCCGTAATGCAGCCACATCCCACCCCTCAGCAGGTCACTCCAGCCTCCACATCAGCAGAACCCCAATGGCACACACCACAAGGGGTATGGCAACCTTATTCAGTCTTCCCACCAGTGACACCGCTGTCACCACACCCTTCATCACAGCCCCAACAGGCAATCAGCGACGCACCACAAGAACAGCCACCACCCCAAGATCCTACACCGCAGGATCCCGCGAACCCCTCCCAACACTCCAGTCACCGTCTCACAACCCTCTCCATCACCAGCCACTACACCGGCACCACCGACTACGGTGAACCCGGACCCCGCCGCCGGGGCAGCAACCAATACAGCTTCACCAGCACAACCATCATCTCATCAACCACACACTACTCGGCACCGCCACCACCAGGGCCGCCGCAAGACCGATCATCACAGACACGGTCGCCACGGGCGTCGCCGTCGACGCACACACCGAAAGCACTCCAGGACTACCAAACACAAAAGCTCCTCCAGGCGACACCGCTCGCCCTCCACATCCACCTACTCATACTCTTCCACTCCCTCACGCAGTCGCTCCAGACAACCTCTTGACCTACGACCCAACACGGCTACTTCCAACGCCGACAATCTCAACACCTCCGCCACAGAATATCCACTCACACCGGTCCATCGTCGACCGCCCAATTTTTGGCGACCCACCTCACACTTTCAACAATTACCTCCCCAACAGCAACTTGTCACTTGGCTCGACTTCCATGCCGACCAGCTGGATACCCCCAATCGACCTCAACACCACTACATTGCCAACCTTCTCCACGACAGCAACATCACATACAAAGACATCTCCGACTTCAGGCAATACACCTACGCCAAGTGGAATGACACCACCCAGCAATACGATCAATTCCAGTACAATGCCATTTCACTCCCATACCTCAACACCAAAGCCACCCAACCCTCACCGCCACCAGTTTCCCGCGCCACGTCCACAGACAGGGAAGTTGCACACATCAACGCCTGCCACACCGGCCCTGTCGGCAACATCCAACATCCTACGACAAGGCCGTTTCCTCCCCAGCACACTTCACTTCCCAAACTACCCTGGCTTTTTTGCCCAGGGGGTCCGCATTGCTCACAACCCACAACACGACCACGGCGAATCTGCTCGCATCATGGCAACTCCTTAAAAACACCCACTCCCTCGTCATCACACTCCTGGCCTGGGGCGCCGCCACAAAATTCACTTCGGGCGGCGAAGAACATGCCATGACCCTTTTACACGACAACCACGGCGCTGTCTTCCACCAGAAGGGCAGAAGCTGGGTCATCCACCCTGACCATGCTATTGTCAAAGGGATTAGCACGGTCGGTCAACGCTACCCCACCAGACCTGTGACAACCCACCACTCAACACCCACCCGACAACCGCCTACAACCTTCGGTTTCACTCAACCACACACCCTCCGCAGCGCTGACACTCGTGCAGATGCTTCCGATTTCAGCTCTTACATGTCATTCGACCTTTCAACCTTTGTTGTCTCTAAATGAAACTTTGACTTTCTTGAGTTCAACTCACACTTTTTTGATGCTGATCGTGAATTCATTTCGGCATGATTTTTCGGCCCGGTCTTTGTGCCTAATTCATATGCACGTTCTCGTGATGCTGCGCCACCGCTGCCCAGCTGCCGCGCCGCTGCGCTGCTGCTACAAACTACGACCCGTACCCAGTGAACTCCTCATCAGCATCACACTCACACTTTCAACATATGACCACCACAGGCTCACATCCTCGTGAAGATACTACCGCACTACTACAGCAAACGACAGTGGCCCTTTCTCAGATCCAACACCTCCTCCGGCAAGCCACAAACATTATGGCAGATCTTCACACACGTTTTCTACACCACATTGGACAGGCGGATCCTACCTTCCACAGAACCTTGCCACCACCGCCAACACGCTCCATCACCCACTTCCTCCTGCGACTCACCACCACCTATTCCACGAGTTCGCAACCCACCTCCGCCATCAGTTAACTCCGACACACCTTCTCCCACTCCTTCACCCAAGCACACACCTGCCCGCAAGCGCAAACAGCCACCACCACCTCCACTCGATCCACATGCAGATTGCGTGGGATGCTTGGGATGGCGACGCTGAGTGCCGCCTCGTGGACCTCAAAACCAATCCCAGGCTCCGACCCAACTGGGGCCTTTGTTGCTCGACGGGTCGGATTCTCCATCGAGCAATGCAAAGCTCGATGGAAAGAGCTTCAAGACCTACAAAGACTGCAAGACGCTCAACCGCTTGAGCCTACTCCACTACCCACAACACCACCACCACCTTTACCTTCCACTCCGAACCCCATCTCACCAACTCCCACATCACCAGCGAACACACCGCCACAGCAATCACAACCCGACTTCTCCGCCTCACCAACAGCAACCCCATCATCCACACATGAAGCTTTGCCACCGCAGACGGCTGCTGTGCGAGCGCCCAGTGAGAACAGGCATCCGGAATCACCTTCGGAACCGCCTATTGGCAGTTACTTTATTTGATCAGTTTCACCCATTTCTCCACGGCGTGCCATCGGACAAATTCAGCAGCACGCCTCTTGACACAATTTCTTTGACTAACTAGCATGCCACCACTGTATGTCTTTTGATTCAATCTCATGTCAGCTTGCTTTTGAATTCGGAACGCCAAGTCCACAAGCAGTTACTGTTGCATTCGGCACACATGACCTCACGCCTTATGCCTTAGTTTTCCCGATGGGCTCACCACAGTCCCGCAGCATTTTACGTGACTTCGAGCCTTTCTTTACCCTCACACATGCATGGCCTCCTCCCGCGATCGCCCTGCAGCCACCGCTGCTGGCAACTACTACCTTCCAGGACGACCTCCCATTTACCTTGAACCTTCCATTACTCATCAGCCAGATCTCCATTCACTCAAATGTATGCTCGACATCCTGTTCCTGATCGTCCAACACATCCGACGCCGCCCACTCCACACAGAACCTATGCCAAACCAAACATACTTCACAGATGACCGAGCCTACAACATACTTTACCAATACAGACGAGACACCATGCTGCTGGACCGCCTTGTCGACAGCCTCGCCACAGCCCGACGACTGCTCCAATTCGTTCCCGGACAACCTAGCCTTCCGGGACAATATCGCATTGATCCCTCCGCACGCATTCCACCAGAGACTTCAGCCACTCTTCAAGCTTCTCCACCCAATCCCATTTTGCCATCGACACCATCCGACCACTCTTCCTCCCCACGCCCAGGTACACCACCAGAAGACGCTCTCCGCTTTCTCCACCACTGGACTGGCCCAGCTGCATTCATCAATCCACCTCCAGAACGCAACCAATCCCACCACAACACCCACAACAACCACAATCATGCCAGGGATCGCTCCCGCTCCCGGGACACCCACACCGGCTAGCCCACATCTCACCAACAAGGGCACCACCAGCAGCTCCCTCTTACGGAGCAACTGCGGCCGACCGCGCGTGGCATGCCCCTTCACTTGCGAGCATTGCCCACTTTGCCACGGCGTATGATCCATATCTCCGTCTCACCGACATTTCTCGGCGAGCACACAGAAAACAAGCGCTTTTCATATTTTCTAAACAGTTACAGAAGCCATTCTGTTTCACCATT